AAATGTAAGATGAGATACCATAGCTGAAGTAAAGGAATAAATAAATAACTGGGATTTAAAATGTTGACTAAGGTTTCCTGTTCTTCAGTTGTGGTGTTTGCAGTAAGATGAAGTGTTTCCTCTGTCTACATTTTACTGTTTGCAGAAAGACAAACATCTTCTTCTGAGCTATTTTTTTCTGGTACATCTTAATTCCGCACTGAATTGATTAATTTGCTATCATTTCTTCAGGGTTCTGCTATTTATTTATGAAGCCAGATTTAATGTTTAGGGCAATATTAAGTGCTCTGTCAGGTAATAGAAAAAGACTCTCATTAAAAATAGATCCTCGATCTTCAGAAGTCAGTAACATCAGCTGCTATAAAATAAGGTTGATTAGAAACTCCTGTTTGGAAAAGTCTCATTTAGAATCCATGACAAGTTGAAGCATCTCTGTATAAACACACATTCCTTCTGTGTGGAGAGACTTTTAGTTATCTCATCTAAAATGAATTGTTTACTTCAATCCTACTTATAGAGAATTTATATCATGCTCCTTAGCAAGGTGATAAACTTGTATATCTGCATCTGGAAGTATTGAATTTTAATGTAATCATTAATCTATATTTGTACAAGAATTATCCCATATTTAAATGAGTCTGTATGAAAATGGCTTCAATCAGCAAGATAAATCTCCCATTGTCAAAACCGTTGTACAAAATCCTCGTCTCAAAAGTATATATAGTTCTATCTGTTTCAGAAAGACAGGATAGGTCAAAAACTGAAGTATTGCAATTTATCCATTTTGTTAACATTAGTAAAAATCTTCATATCCTTCCTATCTAAATATCTAAGAAGATAATTGGAAGTATTTTATTGTTCCACTTGAAATTAGTAACTCTTTTGTGATTCTCAGCCATGTACAAACATACAAGAAATAGAAGGCAATATTAGAGTTTATGGGTTCAATATTAATGCCATGCAAATGTAATTGAGTTAATAAGAAAGTCATGTCCATACATATGTTTCTTAGAGTTTGAGAATGACCAGCAGTACTTCATTAGAACTGGACATAGCTTCATGCATTGCATGTTATATACTTGTATTCTCATGTGCCGTTGACTAGAGGGCTGGGAGGTGGGATATATTCAATAAAGAGAGTTGTTATATGAAGGGTCTGCATTTGCATATATATGTGTGTTTGTGCAAAAGATACATCTACACGATCCATATTGTGGATGCAATGCCAGAAGTCACCATCCCCTAGTGACTGACTCAGACAAGGACATTGGGAGACTCCCAGTGCTCTATTACTCCTTGCATGGAACTTAAGTTCTATAGTTATCTCTGTCTCTACTAGTATCCTATAGCCAGGGAGAGTTATATCATGTAATATTTATTTTATTTATTTTTTGTCGATTGTGGGGCTTGAATTCTGGGGCTGGGCACTAACCCTCAGCTCTTTAGCTCAAGGCTGATGTTTTACCATTTGAGCCACAGAGCCATTTCCAGTTTTCTGGTGATTTATTGGAGATACAAGTCTCAGGGACTTTCCCGCCTGGGCTGGCTTTGAACCTTGATCCTCAGATTTCAGTCACCTGAGTAGCTAGGATTATAGGCATGAGCCACTGGCACCCAGCTTATCATGTATTTTTTTGAATTAAATAACATAGTCTATGAAAAAAATTAATGAGTAAAGTCAAGGAATATTTGAGAGTAGTTATTATTTATCATATATTTTTAAGATCTATGACTTGCTGTTTTACATATATATGTATATATATTCATACATATAAGCAGATGATTCCTAGAGACAAGTAAATTAATATATACTCATCACTTCATATAGTTTTATTTGAAAGTGTAACAATATCTACAACACATTCACTGTTACTGATTTTTTTCAGTATATAAATCAATCACTGTAGTTTTTAATTTTTTAAATGTTTTATCATTGTGAAAATACTGTACAGAGGGGTTGCAGTTACATGAACAAGGTAATGAGTACATTTCTTATCTAGCATTGTTGCCTCCTCCTTTGTTTTATTACTGCACATTAAGTCTTTAGATTGATTCCTATCAACTTCCAGTTTGTCCTGTTTGTCATACATTTCCAAGTTTTCCCCAAGACACACACAGATTCCTCCTAGCAACATTGTGCTCCTTGGGTCTGGCCTCTTGGATTCCAATGTATGTAAAGTCACAGACTATTCTTCTGTATCTAGCTGACTTCATTTGTTGTCATGTCTCTAAGCTTACCATTGTTCTGACTTCTATTAAACTAGAAAGAAAATACCAGCTATTACTGATAACTTACATCTAAAATACTATTATTTGAGTTCTGTAAATATTTTTACATCTCAATATTATTTTCATCTGGTTTTGCAAAGGGTGAATGTGAAGCTTAGGGTTTGGGTACTTTCTCAAGGTTCTCTGTTTAACAAGTGCCCAAGTCAGGATTGGGCATCGAGCACTTTGTTCTTAGAAGTGAGGTGTGTAGCCAATATCCACAGATAAGGAAACTCTCCACAGAAGGGAGTCAGCTTGCTTATCACCATTATTTTTGTATGGGCCCAACAGGGGCCATACCTAGTCCCAGCAATTACATTAGTTCTTCAGTTCAAGGATTTGCACAGGTCTGGATTTTCCATCTAAAATCATTAGCTACTATAAAAGAAATGAAAATCCTGCTCATTAAAATATAGAAGAAAAGAGAAAAGAAGGAAAGAAGAAGCCAAAGAAATGAGATCATGAGAGAAATCTTACTTCTTTAAGCTCTGTAATGGGTCCTGCGATATGTTCCTAAATTTATGTACTATCACTCAAAGGGGGAAAACACGTTTTCAACTGACTCTGTAAAAATCTGAAAGATTTCCAGTGTATTATTCACTCTGCCCTTTGTACAACGTCCTTTTTACATTGTCCAATCCAAGTTCTTCTTGATGCACATGGAAGTGCTGTTTATCATCTCCTTTCGGAAGAAATAACTCTTGTTATTCTTAGGGTATAATGGACTTATACTAAGGTGCGTTTCCATAACAAAGTGCATGTGTTAAGTGAAAATGTAAGTTTTTTTTTTCAAATACGCAGATAACTTTTTCATAGGGCATTGCAGAATGTTTATGTTATTGTTTAATGTCAACACTCACTTCTTTCTAGGAGCAATTTTTGACGAATCTGCTAAAAAGGACGATGAGGTGTTTCGCACAGCGGTTGGCGACCTCAATCAGAATGAGGAAATCTTACAGACTGAAAAAATCACATTTTCGGTGACATTTGTTGATGGCAACAACCCCTTCCAGGCCGTTCAAGAAGGTAAGACCCAGTAGTCTCCTGTTTTCTTTGCTTATATGTGTTGGAAGTTGTTCAATTTCAGTGTTAATGAAATTAGATGGAATTAAATGGAAGGCGGATGGCATTGTTTGTATTGTTGCTGCTAATTGGGTATTACTTCCCTTTGATAGTGCACTTCTGCAGGTCTTTAAGCTGTCTTCTCCTTTTGAGAAGACCCAAAGTGGAAAGCCATCGGTTTAATTGAAATATGATAGCAAAGTAGACAGAAATATTTACACTGAAAGCCTTTAGGACATGACTTCAATATAAATGAAGCATTTCTTTAAAATATGATTTTCTCTTTGAGTTTTTACTTTGGATTTCTCTGGGCTAACTGCCACCTTGAGTAGTGTTCTTACAGGCTGCCTGACACTTTAGATGTACTCATGACAAATGTATTGCCAAAAGGAATATCTTTCAGCATTGCATACAAATCAAAGATTTTGTATTGGGATCCTAACATACTGACCGAGGCTGTATGTATGTATGTATGTGTGTATACATATATATGTATATACACACATATATATATATATATATATACAAGTTCCAAAGTTATTTAAGTATTTTCCTCTATGCTCTATTTACTTGAGTGAATTAAAAGTTTAAACAATGTAAGGTAATACAAATCATTTTTACTCACTGAATAACTTTACTAGAATGAAATGTTTGCCTATTAACGATCTCTTATTAATGAAGAGTTGACCTTTGGACTTTTACATTTGATGCTATTCATCTAAATGAATGCTAAGCACCTTCTGTAAAGTGTTGATTGTTGCTGCTTGGTAGGTTTTGAATTTTGGTGTTCTCAAGTTTCTGTGTTGAAATCTCATTTTCATAATGATGGTTTTAAGAGGTTAGACATTCTGAAGATGATAGGTCATAAAGACTGTGCCTTCACAGATGGGATTTGTGTCCTTACAAAAGGAGCTGGGAAGGTAGCTCAGTGATAGAGTGGTTGCTTTGCATGGGTGAGACCCTGGGTTCCATTCCTCAGCAACACATAAGCAGAAATAGCTGGAAGTGGTGTTGTGGCTCAAGTGGTAGAGTGCTAGCCTTGAGCTGAAGAGCTGAGGGACAGCACCCAGGCCCAGAGTTCAGGCCCCACGACTGACAGAAACCTAAAAATAAGAAGCTCCATCCCTTTACCTATTCAGAGAACACACAAAGGACTCTGTGGAACAGAAAATAAAGAGAAACCTCACCAGGCAAAGAATCTGCTGTGTCTTGATCTTGGCTTTCTCTACCTGCAGAATTGTGAACTATAAATTTCGGTCGTTTGTAAATCACCTGGTGTAAGGCATCCTGTTACCGAAACCCAGACTATGACACTGTTTACTCGATATATTATTGTGATAATTCATTTAGACTAAATACAAAGAGTCCCAAATTGACTTACACACATGAACAACTTTCACTAATAAATTTTAAGTAGCATTTGGCAGAAGAAAAGGAAGACAAACACTACATTAGAGGTATTAAGTTTGGCAGGAAAGAAACATGGAAGGGTAAAGGAAAAGAAACTTAATTGTCTGAAATAAGTTTCCTTTTCATCTACTATTATATGTGTTTGATATGCAGATGATTTTTCACTGGAATTTATTTCTGATCTGTAGATCTGATTGCTGTTGAATTTTATGTTTGCTTCTATTAGAGTATGGAGATGAGGCATGGTATGATGAAGGTGTTTTTAATTCTTAATTGGATAGAAAAAATAATAATGAACAGACTTATTTTATGAAAAAATAACTATAGAATAACAAAATAATATAGAATATAATATGGCTTTTAACTTTAGAAAATATCAGTACAAAAGTCACATTGAAATAAACATTCAACTATTTACACTTTAAATTATCCTGAGAATTTGAGGCTTCATATCATAAATATACATTTGTATGGAAATACTTAAAAGCTATCAAAAGTTAAAATTCACAGTTACCTGCAACATAATAAATTAGAATTTGAGGAAGATATGTGATAATTATTTTATGTATGCTTGTCCTGGGGCCTGAACTTACTGCTAGGTGCTATCTCTGAGCTTTTTGCTGAAGGCTAGTGCTCTAACACTTTGAGACACAGCTCTACTTCCAGATTTTGGTACTTAGAGATAAGAATATCACAGACTTTCCTGCCCAGGCTGGCTTTGAATTGTGACTCTCAACATTCAGCCTCCTAAATATCTAGGATTACAGGCATAAGACAACCACAGCTAGTGATACATGGTAATTTTGAAATATACCAACTAGAAATCACATGTTAACTGGTTTTTTAAGTTCTCATGATCTCTTTTCAATCTATAGCTTTATTGGCCAGAATGACAACAGGAAAAGCCTGAGAACCAATTTATTTTCGCTACTCTCTTTTGAGGAACTCTATGTGAATTTCAGTTAAAATATCATTTTGTAAATTTATCTAGGCTGGAAAAAAGCAGTAGCAGATTAAGAAGTGATAACAATAGTTAGAAAGGAATTCAGAATAAGTATGCCCTTGTAGCCTTTCTTAGACTAAATTTGAAAAGTTAAGACAGATTTTAAAAATATTGCAGTGATACCCTTTTATACACTGCTTTGTGTAACCATTCTGCTGCCTGTTAACTTCAAGAAACAAAAATGTCTCTCAAAAAGAATTATAAGGACTTGAATGGAATGGTGACATTGAAATCAGAGTGAGACAGAAAATGTTTCCCAGGTAGAGACCACTCGGTATTTATCAAAGCTGGAGGAAAGCTTGATACTTTGCTGGGTTGCTGTTCCTAACAGGATGCTTTGGACTAGTTATTTTGGTGGTCTGCTCTGAGTAATGAACCTGAAATTAGTTCCAAGAAGCTTTGGAGATCATCTGTTTCCCCCTTCCACACCAGAGAGGCTTTAGATTCATTTTGGTAGTAAAAATAGTTATTGCAAGGGCTCTTGTCAGCTTGAAAAGTAAAGGGAAAAATATGAAACTTACAAAAGAACAAGAAATAATTCAGAGGCACTACTCTCTTAAATATTATGAGGAAGTAATTAAGGAGAAAATGTGTCATCGAAGATGAGCAGTTTTTGATAACATCTTCATTGCAATGCTATTAAAATCCATAATCTAAAATTAACTTACATTTTTTATTTTTATCAGAGACAAAAATTTAATGATAAAGTACTGATTACTGATCTACTGTCATTTCAGAATTATGGCAATACATGATTTTGGGTTCTCTCACCTATCTATCTATGTATCTATGTATCTATATGTATGTATGTATGTATGTAACTATCTATCTATCTACCTGATTTTGAAATTCTAGTATTGAGCAAAGAGAATTATGATGCATGTAGGTATTTGGTGAATAATTAATGATATTAGATTAGTCAAACACATATTCATTAAATCTACTAGTCTGCATGTCTTAAGTTATTAATAAACTTTTTATTGTGAAAATAACATACAGCGGGGTTACAACTACATGAGCAAGGTAATGAGTACATTTCTTATCAAGCATTGTTGCCTCCTCCTTTCTTTCCCCTTATCATCCCTCCCCATCTCCTCCCTTCCCCATCTCTGCCCTTCCTCCCCCCCCCACCCGTGACAAAGTTGTACAGTTTGTTTTTCAACATAACGTCTTGTACATCTCTTTGTTGCAATGGGTCCACTTGCAACCCTATTTGTTTTTTCCCTTCCCTTCCCCAAATTACACCAGTTAGTCATTTTAAGAGCTGGTTTGGTTCATAGAAATTTATTTTTGTCTTTCTGTTGTCTTTGTTTCTTACTAAAAAAGAGAGGGTCATACTAGTATACAGCCTGTTCAATCCCCAGAGTTGGTATTATTAAAATCATCTTTTGTGGCTTTGCTTATAATGCATTTTAGTCAATTATTATTCTCCTAAAAGTGAATTTCTAGGGTGAAATATCTCTAATATCACTAATAGTTCATTCTCTGATGATCAATTAATTTTTTACTGTATTTCTTGTTATATCTATATTAGACTTAAATAAATGAACAGTAGAAAGGTATTTATTTTAAGTAACATGATAACAAACTAGCTGTTTTGATAAATTTATTTTTCTATATATTTCAGTTCATCTGTAGATAATTTGTTAGGATTCTTTTGTTCCACAGTTTAGAATATTAACCAAGAAGATGAAAGTTTTTATCATTTAACAGAACAAATTTTTGGAGGCATTTTCTTTTTGACAGTTGCTTTGGTAGTTGAAAGATGGATTTTTCTATTAGATGAAAAAACTATCCTACTAGAAAAAAAGAACTATCCTACTTTTCAAAACCTGTCAATTGGGGTTTATATGTAGCAATGTAACTCTATTGGAATATTTTCAGTATATAGATGAACCAATTGAGACTCAGAGAGATTGAATAATTACTGTAAGTTTTTATTAGACGAGGATATATAGATAACATATGTTATCCAAGATGTTCACATCATCAACATTTTTCTTGCTACATCTAGTATCTAAGTGTACACACACACACACACACACACACACACAAAACACACACAGAATTTATTCTAGTCTTCAGTATATAGGTGTATATTTATACATAATAGTTCATTTTAGGTATTCCATAAGTACTGTGGGGGAGTTAAAAAGGTAGCAGATAGATATGTATTTGATACGCATTTTTTACATTCAGAGCTTATAATTGTAGGGGTCTTTCACTTGGGATGATATACTCAGTTTCATGGTATAAATCACTCTTGTTTTTTCAATCTTGGATTTTCTCGGCTGTAAAAAATGAAGAACTCAAAACATATGTGATGTATTTTTAAAATCACTTTCATCTCTTCAGTTTCATGACACTTTAGAATACACTTATAGGTTTTAAACTTTATCCAAATGTTCATTATTTAATTCATTCTTATAAGAGTATTCACATTTTTGAAATTACTCCTAGCTTTCCTTTGACTGAATTTGAAATAATTTAAAGAAATATATGGCACCTTTGCTATGTTCTGCTACTGCATGCACCTATTCAGTACAAACCA